CATCGTCTCACCACCACCATCAACAGTATCATCATCAGCATCACCATCAACATCCGCTTCACCACTATCATCATCATTTTCATTGTCATCATCATCATCATCACCACCACACCAACATCATCATCCTCACCATCAGCAGCACCACCACTATCCTCATCATCACCATCGTCATCATCACCATCATCATCCTAGTGTTGCGGGCCTGTTGCAGAAAGTCGCTCTCACAACCTCAGAGCTCCCATGGTTTCCTTCTAAATGTTCTTCCTCGTAAAGAACATTGTCAGAGAGCCCTTGATATCCTAGTCCACCCTTGTGCTGGTCGACTCATGCCTCTTTCTCCTGGAAGTTACCTTTCAGAACTACTCTTTCTCTTTGAAATCTTACATTTAAACCATCAATTAGAATTTCGCTGTCGTCACGGCATCTTTATAGCTTCTCTTCTTCTGGCTAACTCAGCTGTCCTGTGTGCTTTCATAGCTAATACATCTCCAATGTCTTGTACTCCACTTCGCGTAAATCAGCCTCCGTCTCCTTTCCCAGAAACTGTGCCCTCCATCACCGATCTCTCCAGGCCATCACGAGGTTTAATGTGACCAAAATAGCTCAGCTTGTGTGACAGAATGCTATTTATGAGCCAATTGTCCTCGCCGTTCAGACCAGATTGTTTGTCATATTGTTGTAATTCATCTTGGTCCACGGTATTAGAAAAGTATTTCTTGTAGCATTTCAATACATTTAAAAACGTAAATATTTAATAAATAAAATAAACAATTAAAGTATTTTGGAATAAACAACACAGGGAAAACGCTTCAAAGTTAATCATGATCACATTTAATGTATCATATTTTACAAGAGCATTACAAATTGTATTCGTTAGTTACAAAACTGAAACGAGTGGGTCACATTAGACAACGTCTCCCCTCACACTAAATCTGGCACAGACAATATATAATTTTATGTGACATCAGCAGACATGTGAAATATTACATTGACGTTCTCAGTTGAATGCGTCAAAATAAACGAGATTTATACCCCAATAGAGAATTGGGTATATCAAGGTTATTCAACCGGCGGCACGCGGGCCGAATCTGGTCCGCAGAAGCCTAGCTTGGGCCGCAGGATCATTACCAACTGTATTGTGTTAGTGATGTTTCAATGCTTGGGTCTGCGCCTCTGGCCGACGACGATCCTCATTTCCAAACATTTAGACCCTCTGAGTAAACTTGGGGTATCTTCTTCTTCTTCTTCTTCACTTCCTCTTTTACCGCTGTGGGTGTCGAGGGAGATATAAGGTTCTGTTTCTAGCTCTTCTGGCTGTCTCGAGATATAAACCGACTGATCAAACGGTATCTGACTTGGGGTATAAAATACCAAATTACCCGTGTGGGTTCCAGGACCCCATTGTGGGGAAAAACAAGAATAGACAGCCTGCCTTCCCAACAAGCATGTCGTAAGAGTCGAATAATTGGTGATTCCCTTGGTAGTCGAAATGCATCTGCCTGGGAGGCAAGAAACCAACAGTCTGCATACAAATAGGTCAGATCTGTAAAACGAATGTACACACAACACTCAGGTTTTTAAACAAGACTAAATTCCACGGGTGGATAAATAACATCACTCTCCATTGCAGTTTGCAGCGAAGAACAGAAGAAGAAGAAGAGGAAGAAGAAGAAGAAGAAGAAGAAGAAGAAGAAAAAGAAGAAGAAGAAGAAGAAGAAGAAGAAGAAGAAGAAGAAGAAGAAGAAGAAGAAGAAGAAGAAGAAACTCAGAAGAAGAAAACGAAGACATAATAAGAAGAAGAAAGAAAACGAAGAGAAGAAAGAATAGAAGAACTAATAAGAAGAATAAGAAGAAAGAAGAAGAAGAAGGGAAGAAGCCCCAGCGCAGAACTACGAGAAGAAGAAGAAGAAGAAGAAGAAGAAGAGGAACAAGAGATACTAGATTACTATTTAAATAGATTATAGATCAACTGGCTCACGATGAGTCAACCTCAAGAAGGTCGCCTGTACTCCCCAGGATGTTACCTGGTACCAATGTTACCCCGGGTCCGTCTGTGAGCCAGTGTCGTTTTTGAAAATACGAGGCGGCTTCAGATGAAAAAAATTAAACTTGAAAGAATGACTGAAAATACGAGGGGCTTCAAATGAAAACCTTAACAGAATGACTGAAAATACCATAAACATGCCATTGTCTCCAGAAAGTTTTTATTATTATTAAGGATTTCAAGAGTGTTAAGCACGTGATATCATGGGGTCATAATGATATTTTAAATATAGTCACACCACCTTTGACCTACACAATTGAGGAGCAGCTTTGTTATTCGCGTTTTAATCAATGAAGGGGTGGAGCCTATAGACATAGGTCTCAGAATGAAGGTCTAGTACAGTAATGCATACCTGTCGGTCCAGGAAGTATATGAGTGAGATCGGAAGATTCAAAGCTGCATGTTGCCACGGACCCGACACGGTCATGAACAGTCTGTAATATCTAGTACACTTTTAAGGCTTTCATTTGAAGGCATGTCGCAACATCCGAACCAAAAACGTTCGGGGCTGTAGGCATGTTTGTAGCCGCTATGCCAGTGCCGCTCCAAGGGCTCTGGCAGTGCCAGCTGGTATTTACTTTGCTCTTTCTAATCCACGTAGTTTTAATATAATGTAGTTAATATTTGTGGCCAAAGTAATCAAAATAACATCACTTTAGGGAGAGATGATAACACAGAAATGAGGACATAAAGAGTTAATATAGCCACCTTCTGTGATAGAATTTGGTGAATAGTTGAGTTAATATTTCAACTATCTGTGATAGAAGTGGTTGAATAGTTGAGTTAATAGATCAACTATCTGTGATAGAAGTGGTTGAATAGTTGAGTTAATAGATCAACTATCTGTGATATAAGTGATTAAATAGCTGAATTAATAGGTCAACTATGATAGAAAGGGGTGAATATTTGAGATATTCGATTGACTGTGATAGAAGAGGGTGAATAGTTGAGACAGTTGATCAACTGTCAGTGATAGAAGTGATTGAACAGTTGAATTAATAGTCAATTTTGTTAGAAAGAGGTCAATAGTTGAGGTAATAGGGGGTGAAATGAAGCGGGTCTCAGTAACGTGGTTACCCGAACAACTGTCTATGATAGAAGGGGGTGAACAGTTGAGGTTATGCAGATTTTATCACCTGGCAGAAGAAGGTATAAAATGTTTAGATAATATAGCAACTGTGTGTAGTATACGAGTTCTGAAAAGTAGAAGAAAATATGAAATGCTGAGGTAATAGAGCAATTGTCCTTGATAGAACAAAGTATAATATGCTGAGATTATAGAGCAATCGTCTGTGACAAAAGAAAGTATGAAATGTTAAGCAATTGATAATTGCAATTAATAAAACAAAGAACAATATGCTGAGGTAACAGAGCAATTGTCTATGACAGAAGAAAGTGTAAAATGTTGAGTTAATAGAGCAATTGTCTTTGAAAGAATAAAGTATAATATGCTCAGGTAATAGGGCAATTGTCTTTGATAGAACAAAGTATAAAACGCTGAGTTCGTAAGGCCATTTACTGTGATAGAAGAAAGTTACGAAATGTTGAGTTGAAAGATGGCCTAAAATTTTACGTATATTTCACAGAGGCTTTGGTGCAATGTGTCATGAGAAATGATACTATCAGACAGACAATAGCAACGACACATTGCACCCAATTCTCTAAGAAGCATGCGGCGAATGTTCGGTCATCTCATTAGAATGTAGTCACAGCGACTACCAACTCAGGCGCTACAAATAAAATGACTGATACGAGAGAAAAGGGCACATCGTCGACCAGGTCGCCTATTGGCTCGCCGGTAGACAACTTCGTCCTCGGTCTGGACAGTATTAGCGTCTGTCTCCTTTGATCGCACCAACACTGCAAAAGTCGTTTTCAGGGCTATTGGTGGCGAGGAGTGCTAAATCATTTTATACGGCGCACATAACCTAAAGCTCCCCCTTCGGGGATGCTGGTTGAACGTGATTTTTTCTTCTTCCGTAAAGCACGCCAAGGAAAGGACGCCCAAGGAGAATATAGACTAACGACATTAAAGACATTAGGTTAGGTTCACAGAAATCTCCCCAGACAAAGTAGGTCACTTTTCATTCACCAAATTTGCTGGGCTGGTCGACTTTCCTATAGGTTACATATGTGTCCTGCTCTAGTGTGTGCTTTCTGTGGTGTCTTGCATTTACGTTTTCATTACGAGAAATAAAATGGCAGTATCATAGGTTGCAGCAGTCTCTGAAAAAAGGGGGTGGGGGATGTGTTAGGGCCATTTGCTCCATGTTTTTAGAGCGATAAAAGCACTGGCATGCTGAAATATACAATACGCGATATCAACGGCATCGCAGAACACCCCCGTAACCTTGTGCCAAGATGACAGGTTCAGGCACTACCAATCAGAATTGACCTATTGTGTGTATGGGTTAGGCGTGGGAGCGATTGACGATACGTGTACCAGACATTGTATATCTACACACAATGACAAGTCTGTGCTCTAGCTGAATGCTGCACTGCAAACTGTTCTTGCCGTACCTACTGGATTACCGACAGAAGTGACAGTCGATAATGACGTCTGGTGAGAATGTCACTGTTTGAAAAATCCCTGCACAATTTGAAAAGTTTCCAAATTTTATAAATCTTCCTCCATTGGAAATATTACGTATGTCATGGTCACTCTTTGAAAAATCCCTTCTCACAATGAGATTTTGCATTGTTTAGGAAATTCTCTCGCTGGAAAATAGTACTCGTGTATTTCTAGGGATAACATATTCACACAAGGAGACTTGTTTGTTTTGTGAAATTTCCTGGGTTGGAAATATAAATGATGTCAATGCCATTCTAGAAAAAATCATACTTGACACATTGAAACGTTTGTATTTTTAGGGAATTCCTGGGTTGAAAATATTGCTGATGGCAAGGTGCTTAAGAAGGGGAAATTCCTTTACAAATGAAAGTATCTAAATCTGGGTCAGAACCGGTCTCGTGTACGAATACGCAGAGGTGGGTAATGATAATTCTTGTCATTGTTTATGTCGAAATGGTTGCCTGTCCGGCCTCGACCGGACATAACCGGGCCAAAGACGCCGGAGAGTCCCTGGAGGTGAGAGGTCAGATTGCTGCATGGTGACGACATCGATGCCGGGAGGTATTCTGGGAATGATCTGCTGCTTGGACTGCTCATTACACAGGCCGGGTGTGCCATGGGGTAGGATGATGACGTCATGCCGGATATAGCAGGGGTCAGCCAGGGATCCAAGGGCAGCGAGGATGGTTCCAGGTTCAATGTCTTGGGCAACTTAGGTATGGCTTGGACTGTGTGGCAGTCGCTCAGTTTGGCGAATTCGTTCTTCTCCTGCCGTCGCCATTTAGCTCGTCTGTTCTGAAACCACACCTGGGGAACAAATTGTGGCACAAATGTCAGATAAGTAATTACATAGGTAATGAATAAGTAATGACATCAAGTAATAACATATATTAAAAAAACGTGAGAATATAATAATAAAAATTGGCGAAAAGGTAAGAGAAGGTGGGTGGTGGCTTTCTAGAGGCTCTGGAAGATATTCAACACTGACGGGGAAGCATAGGCGGACTGTTAATCAGGTTGTCACTGGTACTATTAGCGTATCGACTCTTGGTTGGCTGCTGGAAGAAGGTGTCAGAGAAGGTCATGTATGGGAATAGCCCAAGTACAGTGATGTCATTTCTTGATTCGATCATTCATTCATTCATTCGTTTATTTATTCGTTCATCATTCATTCGTTCATTCATTTATTTATTCATTCATTCATTCAATCGTTCATTCATTCATTCATTCATTCATTCATTCATTCGTTTATTCATTTATTCGTTCATTTATTCATTTATTTATTCATTCCTTTAATCATGCATTCATTCATTCATACATTCATTCATTCATTTATTTATTCCTTCATAATATTAGGTGTTAATAATAACATTAAGTAATAACACAGGAAACAAGAGTTAAAAAGTAATGACAATAAATATGTAATAACATAAATTCTAACATAGTGAAGTGATAAAATCGGCAAGGACTAACATGAGTTAGGTAACTGTCTAAGGTCAATAACAGCAGTAACAGGCTATAATTCCTTGAACAGCTAAACAGAGCAACTCAGAGGTTTTGAAAGACGCGAGTGCTCAAATACAACTTATCACAAACATCAGAAAGAATCAGTCATCATTTTTTTTTTGTAATTTATGAGAAATGGGAAACTGAAACATGTTGTGAACACTGGAATGATCTGTGGAAAGAGAGACAGAGGAAGACAGAGGGAAAAGATTCTTGATACATGCAGTTGCGAGTTGCAGATTAAGGAGAGGCATGATCGCCCACGCCAGTCAGCAAGGCACTTAATGATGATGAAATAACAACACAGGTAAGATATAACTGAAGTAGTGGCTTCAGGCATGTGGGAAGATAGATCAGAGGTTAATGAAATCATACGACAATGAATGAATGAATGAATGAATGCATCAAGAACTGATATAGCTGAACCAGGACTATCCCAACAAGTGCTCCGCCACCTTCTCAGTTACTGCCTCAATAAGAGTACCCCAGTGTTCCGCCCTCAGTGTAACATATTTTCTAGAACCTGGACGTAGCAGAGCTCCACTCCTGCCGGCGACAGCGGTTGAGAGGACAACAATAATAGCCATGGTTACTTTCAGAGAGTGTTACGAGAGTCACACCGGAAAGAGTTAGGGCCTCAACAACAGTGAATGCTCTACCACCAACCTCCATCGTGGAGACACTAAGTACAAATAGCGGACATTTCTCTACTCCCTTAACCGTGTTGGGACCGCCGCAGTAGCGTAGCGGCTAGATGCTCGCCTGTGGATCTGCAGGTCCATTATTTGAATCCGAACGGAGCTGGACTTTAAAAAAATGCCCCACCCTTAAATGAGTACCAGAAAAGTCCTGGGAAGTAAAGGTGGCCGGCTTGATGCTGATCATATGTCCAGATAGTGCCGACTGGCCTATAAAATGGAGATCTAACACTATATTCCTAGTGGGCCTGAAAGCGTGGGAAAAGGCCCTTTCATTTACTTGTAGCCGTATTGCCTATATTTTGGTGGACCTATATTTTATAGACCAATTGGCACTCGTGGGTGACGTAGTTATAATCACGCTGGTCACCTTCACGTTCTAGACTTTCAATTGCTACCCATTTTGCGCCAAGGTCATTTCTAAAAAATGAATGCCACTCAATGGGGATTTGAACCCACTACCTTCGGACCCTCAGAGGAGAGTCTAGCCGCTACATCACAGCGGTTCCCTCATTGTGGTTGATTTTTTAAATGTATATTAGTTTCCTTATATTTTCATTTATTTTTTTCTTTTAATTGTTGTTTATTGTGATTGATTGTTGTCATTTGACGATGCTGACACATACGTCAAGACGATGGAAACAGAAGCCCTTGCAAACGTTTGGGTTACCGTCTGACACAAAAGCCATATAATGGTGATGATCGAACACTGTCTCCATTTTGTTTCGTGTCCTGTCTCCCCCGTCCCTCGCGAGGCAATTTTCAATAGCTACGACTCAACTATGTTCTCTTTGTTATCGGCCACTGCCAATGGAGGGCAACAGAAGAGGCACAAAAAACCGGACCGGCGGCAGGAGTTGGCAGGAAGCTAGTGACGCCTTAGCTCTTGACAATCTCAGATGGTACAACTAAGGCCTCATGTGATCCCTTGTCCTTTAACAGCGTCTTCATCGGCCTCTTGACACTCTCCTGTGTGAAACTATAATGAGGGTTTCAACCGCCTCCACAGATCCCAAACCGGATAAAAAATGTCTCTTTTATTAATTTGGCTAAACCCGTCCCTTTATTGTCGTCTGTTACACCAGGGGGGTTCCGAGAGCTGGAATACTGAGGGATGAGGCGGCACATCTGGTCAGATTCATCATCACTGGCGCCTCGACAGCCGCCCTGGTTGCAGTCGCAGGCGCAGTAACCTGAAGGCTCGGAGCCTCGATGCCCTCTACCCCCTAAATGTTGGAAGGGTTGCGAAACCCACTTTGAGGACCCCACCCCATTTTTGTATCGATACACATATATTCATTGTGAAAGTATGTATTTATACATGTCATATCATTTCAAGTACATTATTACTTTCAGAACAATGAGTGAATGAATCAAGAGTTGACGTTACTGCACTCAGGACATTTTCACAAGTGCTCCGTCTTCTTCCTCAGTAGCCAAACAAGAGTCGTCATGCTAACAGTACCTGCTGCAACCGGATTAAAAGTCTGTCGGTTGCCCCCGAGTGTTAAATATCTCCCAGATGCTCTGCTCACCCGGAGTTGAATTAGTCTATCAATGTCTAGATGATTGGTTTGTTCTGTCGCACGATCCCAGAGAACCTTCTTTACTTCCGTTTTATCACAACGGAGCTCAGTACTAAGAAGAGCGGCAGCAGTTAATCTATCAGCTCAATCGTTACCCCGCATAACCGAATATCTTGGATAGAAAATCCATGATACGCTGCTGATCAGAGTCTTATCAAGTGATGCAAGTCCCTTTGCGCGCAAGACACCAATTTTAATTTTTCAAAGCATGCTCTGTGAGTCTGTTACAATCACGACATGTCGGGATGTGTTGTTGTCATGTCATCAGAAAGCTGCCGTTACTGTCTCCACCTCCATTCTCGTACTGGATGTTGTGACACTGTATGCGAGGCTCTCTGATTTTACTCAATAAAACCCCGCCCACGCTGTCTACCCCTGACTACAGATCCATCTGTGTATATTGCGATGTCTACTGGGAGAAACATTCCATTGATCAGCTCTTAGACTAATGCCTCTGTTTCGCAGCTATCCACTACTGGCAGCCTCTGTCCAAGATAACTATCACTCTGTGCAAGTCTGTTTTGCTTGGCGGCACCGTAATCCAATCATCATCTCGCGCTGTCTTGTCAGTAGCACAAACAGTTTTGATCGTGACATCAGCCTGCGTCATCCAAGAGCCGGCTCGTTTCAGCCGATGTCCCTTGCTATCCTGTACCCTACATTTCCACCTGTTAATTTTGTGTCTGTAATATACGGATGGCAAATCACGTATCTGCCGTCTGCATGCGATTTGCCGCCTCCGTGTGCATACCGAAGTGACTCACATGGCTTCATTTTGCTTGCGCTCCAGCTTTTCTGTTTGCCTGTTAGGTAGAGTGAGCACGCACAAACCATACTCCATAACTGAAGTAATCAGTTGCCGATAGAGTGTGTAGGTCATTCTCAATTCCTAGTCCGCTAATGCCATCACATTCAACGCATTAAATTCTCTCCTTATCAACACAACTGCTTCCTCGCATACTTGAACGACAGGTTTCTGTCAAAAGCTATACCACAATATGTTAGTAAATTCTCTCTCTTCAATACATTATTATTATTATTATTATTATTATTATTATTATTATTATAGTTTTATATTTATATTTATTAATTATCATAAACTACGATACGGTCTCTTAAAACCTCATGGCTACGAAACGTGTGAGGCCGTAGAATTAACGGTTTGCACTAGAAAGTCATGACTATAACCCTGTATTCAAGGCCGTGCGGGAGATTATCTCACTTGGATTCAAGTTTTCGAAATGCTTCCCTTAAAAGTTCAAACAGTATTTTAATTTCGCTGTTTATGCCGCTTCTTACGGTGCCGCCTAGGGCTGTCGATTTTCTGCATCACAGGGTGGCACGGCCCTGTATTGCCTAAACAGTTTTATTCATTGTAATGCATGCTTCGATGTTAACGAGCTGTAATCTGTAACTGTTAAAGCAACAAATGAGACTGATTGGGTTGTATAACAACTCAATAGAAAAAGTTTAAACAAAATTTTATTATAGAGCCGACAATAAACGTTATTGTAAATTACTTGATATTAAAGCTTTACTTTAAAACGGCAAAAAATGTTTAAAAAAAAAAAAAAAAAAAAACTCATTAAAAATCTAGGGTTTCTTCTCACCAAACAATTAAATACCCGGTGAAAGAAATATATTGTCCCCCCAAAATTATTTCCTTCCGATAGTCCAGTGTTCTTCAGTGAACTGACATAATTATCAAAAATTTTTCAGCTTGATATTTTTTCTTTACAAAGTATCATCAATACAAGCATCAGGTATCAGTCCAGCCCTTCAGATGCAAATGTCCTCCAGAGGAACTTGCTTTTGTGTCTGGCCTGAAGAAGCGATGATTTAGAAGAGGAGAGAATAAAGCATGTAGCCTTTCAAATTAGCTCATCTGATGGGGTTGTCTCTTTGCGGATGACATTAAGTGTCTTCACCGTAACAATAGCGATTGTTGCTTGGAGACTGCATGTTTGTCGTCTGCTGGGACAGGCGGCTCAAACATGGCGCAATAATTGAAATTTTGGGAAATCCCCCGGGATTTAGGAAATATTTCCTGCCCAGAACCTTCTGTATCCTCTGATTTTTTCATCTTTGCTATAATGATTTTAGAATTGTCTTCATAGTATCTCGGAAATCATTTTGTGTAAATAAAAATAAAGTAAAATACATACAAGAGAAATTATTCTAACATTACTTGCAGCTTCAACTTAACGGCACATATGCTCACACAATAATTGCTCCATTCATGTGTCTGAAAAACCTACACATAATAATTATCACTGTTAGTTGTGGTTTCGGAAAACCCAACAACATAAACACACATTAAATGCACAAGGCAGCCGCCAAAAGTGCCAACACTATCATTCCGCAACTGGAGTTGCAGTTCACGATTAGTGGAAGCAGCAGTTGGCAGAAATTAGCAGTTAGACACGTACTATTGTATAAGGCACGACTATATATGTGGCAATAGGCCATCAGTCATATTCTAACTCTGCTGTTTTATTTCTGAATATTTAAAAGATACCTCTATAGCGCTATGACGTGTTACTCACTAATATATTCTCGTTTAATATATCTGTGGTTGGATGATCAGATTAAATCCGCCTCAGAGTTGTCTTAAAACTTAGTCTGCCAATTCTCTTATCACCTTCAGACTAACTTCGCTACCACGCAGTTGCGAGAATGACATTGGCTGTTTTGTATGTGGAGAAATTGGGATACACGTCATGTAGTTTTGGAGACCAGATTGCATTCGACCTTTCTTCTATTTCTTCTTCGATCCTGCCGTCAGAAAATATGTATCAGAATGCCGAAAGCCTTCATAAAGGTTATCGTACAGTTCATATCTCCTTGTGTACCATACAGCCTTGTCTTTCTTGAGACCAGAACAATGCAGATTGCTTCTTTGATAGCAGGATACAGCTGACTAGAGTTCACAACAATGGGAGTTCTTATACTGGTGCACAACAGCTTCCACCAGTACAAGAGTTCAATGGTACGTGAGCGCTGATAATCGTGCACCCCAGCGCCCCCCCTCCCCCCCCAAGCCCTTTCTCGCCTCCCCAACAACCCTTATCAGGTACTAGAGTACTGGAAACTGCTCTCAGAAAGTTAAACGTGGTCAATTTTGTTTGTTTGTTTTCATGAAAGAATGGATGAAGGCATCCAGTTGACTGTGTTGGAGCACATGTTCAGTATTTTTTTTTTTTTTTGGGTGTCCTGTTACAGGGAGGCAACTCCGTGTTTCCTATTCCGAAAAATGTTGGTGAAGTCTGTTGTGCCCAGTCCGTAGTCTGAATATAACACACTGTCCCTCTCTAGAGAGACGATGAAGCGAATCTTGGAGAGAGAATTTGGTGTGGGTATCTGGTCATCTTTCCTGGATACTACTTTAACTGGTTGCCATAGTCTGCTTTTGGCCAGTCTGTTTGCTGGGTGATTGCCTTGCAAGCCACATTTACCAACTCAGCACACAGCGGTCTGCGAGCAAATCTCCCGCAGCTGAATCGAACCTGGTAAATCAAAATAATGAAACTGGTATAATAGCCCCTAAAGCAGTGGCTCTCAACCTTCCTAATCTGGCAACCCTTTTACACAGTTCTTCATGTTTTGGCAACCCTTTAATACAGTTCCTCATGTTGTGGCAACCCTTTAATACAGTTCCTCATGTTGTGGCAACCCTTAAATATAGTTCCTCATGTTGTGGCGACCCGTTAATACAGTTCCTCATGTTGTAGCGACCCTTTAATACAGTTCCCCATGTTGTGGAAACCCTTTAATACAGTTCCTCATGTTGTGGTGACCCATCAATACAGTTCCTCATGTTGTGGCGAACCTTTAATACAGTTCCTCATGTTGTGATGACCCATCAATACAGTTCCTCATGTTGTAGCGACCCTTCAATACAGTTCCTCATGTTGTGGCGACCCTTTAATACAGTTCCTCATGTTGTGGTGACCCATCAATACAGTTCCTCATGTTGTGGCGAACCTTTAATACAGTTCCTCATGTTGTGATGACCCATCAATACAGTTCCTCATGTTGTAGCGACCCTTCAATACAGTTCCTCATGTTGTGGCGACCCTTTAATACAGTTCCTCATGTTGTGGCGACCCTTTAATACAGTTCCTCATGTTGTGGCGACCCTTTAATACAGTTCCTCGTGTTGTGGCAACCCTTCAATACAGTTCCTCATGTTGTGGCGACCCTTCAATACAGTTCCTAGTGTTGTGGCGACTCCCAGCCATACAATTATTTTGGTTTTTACTACATAACTTCAGAGAATATGTGTTTTCCGATGGTCTAGGGCGACCCCGGTGAAAGGGTCGTCTGACACACAAAAGGGACGCGACCCACAGGTTGAGAACCGCTGCCCTAAAGCAAAGCCCCCACTGCCCAACAAAGGGATGATAACATTCGCACTCACCTGTACTCTGACCTCTGGCAAGTTGATTTTCAAGGCCAACTCCTCCCTGCTGTAAACGTCCGGATAATGTGACCTCTCGAAGGCGCGCTCAAGCTCGTGCAACTGGTAGGTGGTGAAGGTCGTACGATTACGACGCTGTTTCTTCCTATTTTTACTAAAATCATCGCTGTCGTTTTCTTCGTCAATATCATCATCGTCGTCATTGTCATCAGGGATGTCGTTAGCCTCATCATCCAGGTGTTTCATCGTTGGCTTGTCTGGACTTTGAAATTGACCCAGATTATTGTGGTATTCGGGAACGTGCGGAAAATCGGTGAGCTTCTGGTTGTCGGTACTGCATGCTCCGTGGGCACCATTAGATGTTGCCGAGAGCAGAGATTTTAAATGTTGTTGGTACCTGTTGTTCACTCTCCCTGTAGGCGGAAATAAAATGAAAGTTTACACAACATAATAGTAATAATGATAGGGGCTAATCATGCTCGTTTAATTACGAATCCTGACAACCAGTGTTCTAATTGGTTACAACAGAATGCTTACCAGTGGCGAGGGGTGCATGCAACGGTTGTGATAGTCACGTCTACTTTCATTTACGAAAGAAAAAGGCAATATTTTACTATTTATTATTACTGTGTTCTTTTTACTTCGAATACGTTGCTCGGATTTCGTCTCGCCAAACAGGTAACGTTTGTTCAGAGAATTAACATTGCGAACAAAAAAAAAAAACACACACACACACACACACACACACATTTTTCTGAATGCTTACGCCACTCCTGCAGAAACTGTCCACAACATGTTAAAGCCACCAGTTACTATTACTGACTGTACTACGATGCTAGCTGCGCACGCATACTCACTATTATTCTTGCCAACAGTGAATCAAAAAGGTGATGCAGTCTCAAGTATAATTGTTATCTGCTAACTATTGCAGCAGTAATATTCTACATACGTTGGATCTGTACCCTTTGTTCTAAATATATTTATTTTTATTACACGACGAACGTAGGATGCTTATTAGAGATTATGAATTTCATATTTAATCTACACTGTGTAATTAATTGTGTATGCTGTAGTTTTAGTGTCAGCATTCTCCGTATATGAACTAAGACTGACAGTTATCATCTAAGGGAGATCTCTGGGGTTTTCTTTCGTGAAATACAGTATTAAATTTATCTAAACAGCTTACACCTGCGAACTGACCATGCCTCGTCATTGATACTCACAGTTCGTGAAAACTGTAAATATACTTTGGTAAAAGAAAAACGCATATCACAGTTTTTATCTAAAGTTTTAGAGACATCAAAAAGTAAATAAAAATTACATTTAACTTCTGCAATTATTCTGGTGCTCAAAGTCGTTACTATTTGTGTCCAAGCATTTATTATTTGCTCTGCACTGCTATTGACGTAACAAAACCTGGCGCCGCCGCTCAGGGGTAAAGACTGGTTCGTTTGATCTATTTTCTTTTCACAACAGAATGACTCCTTAGATTCTGCGACAATGCCTGATCTCAACTGTTGGTGTCTTTTCCTCCCTTTACAAAGTGAGTGAGGGAAGTTGTATATTGCTAGAGGCTAGAACTGCATAGCGCCACTCTCTTATACCGCAGATCAGCATTAAATCTTTTCGTCCCTAACATCATCATCATGTAGCAAGTCATTCGCAGAACGTCGATCTCAGTACTGTCTACCTGAGAGAAACTCGGTCACTTGCCTGCTATCCTGCCTCGTGCACTTTCCCACTGAAAGAGTCAAATATGCTGTGCTGATCTTCGACCCTTGTACCCTTTCACGGCTACCATGTTTCTGCTATAATTATGTCCAATCAGCAAAAGAAGAAATAGGCCAGGATATTTAAAATAATAAGAAACAACCACAGCTGCTACTGTTTTGATTATTACCATGATTACTGCAGTAATAAGACTCATGCTGATGCTGCTACTGCAACCACAATCACAGCCGCTCCCACCATCATCATGAAAACCATCACCAGCGTCATCGTTATCATCATCATCATCATCAACATCGTCGACAACAACAATAACAAAATAACCACAACAACAAGAGTACTACTGAAAAATCTAACGTTGTACCCTCGTTTCTTTCGCCTCTCACCCTAAGATAGACTAGGCAAACAAACGAATGTCTGCAGACGTCTGAAGATTGCCTTTAGTCGCGCCATAAAACTGACCTATTTTACTTTGCCTTAGAAATGTTCTAAAACTAGAGGCTCCTGTCTGGAGGAGTGTGTGAAGCATGTCTTTGAGCTCTAGTAGATAAAGAGCTCTCTCTCTTGTCACTCTAGCCCACTTGGAAAACTGTTGTCTATTATAGGAGAAAATTATCTTGAAATTGCCCACGTTAAAATCACCCAGTTAGTTCTTTCACTGACGCAAAAGGGGCGTAATCAACGTAACCCGCTTCCCAATGAGATATTAAATTGAAAGCCATATTTGTAAACAGCGACGATTTGATTATAATCTTTTACTGTCACCAAAATAGGAATGATAAACGAGGATTAAGAGGAAAATTAGCATTCCTGGCCTGTAAATCAATGTTCAATCAATCCTACATGTTTGACATCTCCCCCGGAAGGCGGAAGACAAGAATGCAGTCCCATTACCCAAGTTCATGCTCCAGAAAGTCACAAGGGACATAATTTTGTCAGTGGTAGGGGAGATAAACTTTTTCATTTTCCTCTGTTTGATTACAGACGAATAAAATTATCCGGGGATAAAACTGTGACTGGCGACTCTGTTAAGCGTATTGTCCAGTCTGCTGCATTTTTCATAATCAGTCTTTTCTAGTGAAAATAAAACTCCCACATCAAACAATAATAAATTTCTTTGTGAAAACCTACATTTTTTTTTTTTTTGGCTTATAATTAAGCCTGCGTACCAATGTCAGATTTCTGTTGCTTATAATTATCTAATTTCGTCCTTTTCAGGACGAAATTTTTTGTCATTTGAAGCCCTACTCTGGCTTTTGCCAGGGGCCGCAATATGGGCAGGCCATAGATGTGACCACATGTCTGAACGCGGTTTCTGGGACCTCTCCACGGCGATCCTCATCCGCATGGTGGCACTTTGTGTCATCGGGTGTTTATCGCTTGTGTGATGTCCTGGTGGGGTAGAAAGTCAGTCAGTCAGTCGTTTTCTGTTGCTAACAGGCTAATAGTTCCACGTCCTTTTAAGGATCCTATTTTTTGTTATTTGAAGCCCCACCTTGGCTTTTGCCAGGGGCCGCAATATAGGCAGGCTATTAATATGGCCAGTTGTCTGAACGCGGTTTCTGGGACCTCTCCACGGCGATCCTCATCCACACGGTGGCACTTTGTGTCATCGGGTGTTTATCGCTTGTGTGATGTCCTAGTGGGGTAGAAAGTCAGTCAGTCAGTTTTCTGTTGCTGCTAAAATAATCGAATTTCGTCCTTTTTAGGACGAAATTTTTTGTCATTTGAAGCCCTACTCTGGCTTTTGCCAGGGGCCGCAATATAGGCAGGCCATACATATGGCCAAGTGTCTGAACGCGGTTTCTGGGACCTCTCCACGGCGATCCTCATCCGCATGGTGGCACTTTGTGTCATCGGGTGTTTATCGCTTGTGTGATGTCCTGGTGGGGTAGAAAGTCAGTCAGTCAGTTTCTGTTGCTAACTATGACTATCCTTACGTCCTTTTTAGGACGTAATTTTTTGTTATTTGAAGCCCCACTCTGGCTTTTGCCAGGGGCCGCAATATAGACAGGCCATAAATATGGCCAATTGTCTGAACGCGGTTTCTGGGACCTCTCCACGGTGATCCTCATCCAAATGGTGACACTTTGTGTCATTGGGTGTTTATCGCTTGTGTAATGTCCTGGTCGGGTAGAAAGTCAGTCAGTCTGTTAAAAAAAGCATGTATTATTCCCAGTCCACACTTTTATTTTGTTATTTGAAGCCCCACCCTCGCTTTTACCAGGGGCCGCAATATAGGCAGGTCATAAATGTGGCCAATTGTCTGAACGCGGATTCTGGGACCCATCCACGGCGATCCTCATCCGCATGGTGGCACTTTGTGTCGACTGGTGTTTATCGCTTGTGTGATGTCCTGGTGGGGTACAACCTACATACATACTTGTCTTTGCAGTCACCCCCATCATTAGAGGCTTTAATATAACCCAACCAATAGGTTGAATGGAGCTTATGGGACCTGTCCCCAGGTGATACTCATCTGAATGGTGGCATTTTGAGTCACCGGGTGTTTATCGCTCGTCGTAGGTGCTGGTGTGGTTAAACGTCAGTAGGCAATTTGTTTTCTTATAGGACTTACACGCTGATGCTTTTTTTGTCCAAATTTAGACGCTATTTTTTTTTTTTAATTTGAAGGCTCCCACGTCGGCTGTTGTCTTGGGTCCTGATATGAACTAGACACTCAACGAAGTTTCTGGAGCTGGTGCAGGGGGGATGCTCATCCGAACAGTGGCACTTTGCGTCACGGGTGTGGTTTAATTTCCCTGACTACATTTGTTACACTTTACTAGGCACATAGGGCTGCAGGTGACTTCTGTCCTGTGTAGCTGGTACAGAGGTTGAATCGGCTATCTCGGACCTGTCTTGTTGGTCTGCTGTCTAGACTAACTTTTGTTTTTCTTTTAATCTCAGGATAGTATGGTAGACCTTTGGGTGCCGCCCGGAGGGGACAGATCGATCTATCCATTCATTGATCATAGCCTACACTATACTTAACAACCCACAAAAACTTTCGGTAAAAAATGGACGCTAGGCACGGTCACTGTTTTGAGTCGTGACTAAGTTTTTGCTTCTGCCTGATGGTGGCCGTTGCATTTTTGCTCAATTTGAAGACTGAAAGGATTTAGTTTCGTGGCCCAGCTACAGAGTTAAGTGCATGGTGGGCCCTGGGAGTTTCGGATTTCATTTGGAATGTTTTTCGACTGTGACCAACGTGGCGTTGTGAATTGTAGATTCCGAAAATGGCGCATAGCCAGTCGTCACAATATTGTTCCCGCCTTATGTGATTAAAATTGATGGCGTGTGCAGCAGCGAATTATGTTGGTTACCTCTGCTACCGTCGACGATGAACTGCATTGCTAATGTCGGACTGTTTGTGTTAGCACTTCTGATGGCTAACGTATGTTTTTAATGCGTGTGTATGCTAGTGCATATGCTGAGACAACAGTCTGTCAATCTTTCAATACGAAAATGTGATGAACTTTCTGTGTGTTTTTCTTTGGCACAGAAGCGGAGCAACTATGCGG